ATGTGCCCTGCCCGCCGGAAGTGGCGAATTCAAGTGCCCCGCCGCGGGGCCAAGGGGAAGTGACGCGTCCAGGTCATGTGACCGCTTCGCCGCGGAGCGCGGGAGCAGGTGGGTCTCGAGCCGGGCCCCGCACCTGGGGCTTGGGAGCGGGGAGGCGCGTCCCCTCCCAGCATGCCCCGCGGCACAAGGGGCCCCCCCACAGAGAGGGGCATGTCCCGGCATGCTTTGCAGGGGCCCCCCCACAGAGAGGGGCATGTCCCGGCATGCTTTGCAGGGGCCCCCCCACAGAGAGGGGCATGTCCCGGCATGCTTTGCAGGGGCCCCCCCACAGAGAGGGGCATGTCCCGGCATGCTTTGCAGGGGCCCCCCCACAGAGAGGGGCATGTCCCGGCATGCTTTGCAGGGGCCCCCCCACAGAGAGGGGCATGTCCCGGCATGCTTTGCAGGGGCCCCCCCACAGAGAGGGGCATGTCCCGGCATGCTTTGCAGGGGCCCCCCCACAGAGAGGGGCATGTCCCGGCATGCTTTGCAGGGGCCCCCCCACAGAGAGGGGCATGTCCCGGCATGCTTTGCAGGGGCCCCCCCACAGAGAGGGGCATGTCCCGGCATGCTTTGCAGGGGCCCCCCCACAGAGAGGGGCATGTCCCGGCATGCTTTGCAGGGGCCCCCCCACAGAGAGGGGCATGTCCCGGCATGCTTTGCAGGGGCCCCCCCACAGAGAGGGGCATGTCCCGGCATGCTTTGCAGGGGCCCCCCCACAGAGAGGGGCATGTCCCGGCATGCTTTGCAGGGGCCCCCCCACAGAGAGGGGCATGTCCCAGCATGCTGTGTGGCTGCACAGGCAGGCCTGGCCCCCACGACCCCCAGAGGGGCTTGGCCCAGCAGGCCCTGGTCCATCTTTTTCTGCCTGCCCCTCTGCAGAGCACAGCGGGGCCCGGGCATTCAGGGGGCCGGGGAGCGGTGGCTTGGTGGTCTGGGGGGGCTGTGGAGGCCCCTCTGTGGCCAGTCCCCAGCTGCTAGCCAGGAGGACAAAGCGAATATTGACAAGCTGCGGCTGCAGAGTTTGACCGGGAAGCCCCATGTGTCTCCTGCCTCGCTCCTCCCTTTCTGGGGTGGAATCGCTTGAGGAGCGGCGCTGTCTCTGATTGGGTTGCCACCTGTCCAGGGGTTGACTTCATTTGGGTGCCTTTTAGGGGTGCCAGGTGCTTGGTTTTTTGACCAGAAAGCCAGTTGAAAAGGGGACTTGGCAGTGTCTGGCTAGATGTACTGACTGGATACTAATAGTCCAGTTATTGCAGGGTGGGGGGAGACGCCAGCTCATTAGCCCCTGCCAGCCTTGGCTTAGCCAAGGCCACCTCCTCTCTGCAGGCAGGATCCTTGAAAGCTGCAGCTGCTGCTGCCATAGCTTAAAGGAGAGGGAGTACAGCTGAGGTGGGGATAGGTGATCCACCCAGTAACCAAAGGAGAAGGGTGTAAGGAAGGGAAGAGGTAGAGAGAGGGAGAGGCCTTGGGGGAAGGAGCAGGGGCGGGTCCCTAAGGGACCAGTTACCAGCAATTAGAAAAGTGGCAACCATAGTCTCTGAGGTTATGCACCCGTTTTGGCAAGATCTCTGACTATATTTAACGCCAGCTGGCATATGTAATGAGACATGCTACAATGAGGTGTGTTTGTATCTAATGTCTAATTTCAGAGACATCAATATTAATATCTCCAGAGGTCACAGTCCCAGGATCTGGAGCTTAAACTGCAGCCATTAAGACTGTCTCCAGTTCTCCATTTGCCAAACACATGGCCTCTTTAAATAACTAACCGAGAACTATTATATTTTCTCCCCTGGGAAAGACTAATAGTTCTTGCTTGTCTTGAGGAGTTGCCAGGCAACACGAAATGATTTGCTGTGGCTGGTTTCTCTTCGTTTTTGCCATGCTACATCTTCACATCAAGGGGTGGTGGGTCTCCTGGGTGGCTTGGTGGGACTGGGAATCCAGTGATGGAGCTTTAGGTCACCAATGTGGCTAGATGCCAGGTTCTTGTCAGTGGCTATGTGATGGCTGCGCCGCGGCCTGTGGAGAATGAGGTTGCAGCGCGCTCGTTCCCAGCCTACAAAACCTGAGATCGCTACGGTTAGCGCTATTTGGCCCTTTGGTGGCGGAAACCTTGAAAAGTTACACCCTGGTTGTTCAAAAACCAGAACACAAAATGCCCACCTCCCCTTTTTTTTAATCTTGTGTTTTAAATTAGTCTCCTGGTTTTGAGGTGTGGGGGCGTCACAGAATCATCAGTTCTTTTAATCTCTGGAGTTGGCGATACTCGGTTAAACTGCAACATCTCCGGACTGGGGACCCAAATCTGCAGTGAGCCGTGGGGAATCCTAACCTGACTTGGGCCCAAGAATATCAGTCAGGTCAGAGCTTCAAGGGCAGGACTCTGGTAGCCATGGTTGTGCCCTCTTCTTGTTCTGTGTAAGCTGCTGCCACAAGCCCAAGCCGGTGGCTAACTTCCTTTCCCCTGCATAGTGACAAGGTTCAGAGAGGTCGCTGGGTTGGTCTGTGTTTGCAAAAACTAGGAGTCCTATGTCACCTTAGAGACTAACGGAAGGGAGGTGGGAAATTCTCCCTGTACATGAATTTCCGCAAAATTCTGCCTTGCGCCGTGGCCCAGAACCCCTCCCGGAGTCCCCTTCGTCCTACGGGAGAAGTCTGCAGGGGCCAGCGGGCAGCGGGGACAGAGTGGGAGGGGCTATACAAACCCATAGCAAGGAACAGCCTTGTCCCAAACAGCTTACATCCAATAAGACAAGGCAAAGGCGGGAGGAAAGGGCACCCAGCACAGTGGGGGGAGGAACCATTTTTGGGTCAGGGGCCGCTGACCCACCGAAAACTCAGTCAGGAGCCACACACAAGTGAGAAACAAAGTGACGAGCCCCTGACTGAGACGGAGAAAGACCCTCCCCACTTTCCCCTTGCCCACCAGAGCCTGGAGGGCCCAGGCTATAGGTTTTGTGTGCTCCAGCCCTGCAGGTGGGTAGCAGGGGATCTAGCGTGCCAGCACAGACTCCCCAATGCAGGGGGATCCCTGAGCCTCGGGGGCCAGTTGGGGCCCCTGGGCCTGAGGGTCCCTACTTATGTATTAGGGCAGGGGTCTCCAACCTTCTTAAGCACGAGATCACTTTTTGAATTCAAGTGCAGTGTAAGATCTACCTCAAACCCAACTGCCCTGGCCCTGCCTCCTTCATGTCCCTTCTCTGAGGCCCTGCCCCTGCTCACTCTGTCCTCCCTCCCTTTCACCAGGCAGGGGCACAGGGATGGGACACAGGCTCTGGTCTTGGGCTGAGGGATTTGGAGTGTGAGGGGGCTCTGAGCTGAGCCTGGGGCAGGGAGTTGGGATGCAGGAGGGGGTTCAGGTGCAGGCTTTGGGAAGGAGTTTGGGTCCAGGGGGCTCGTGGCTGGGGCAGAGGTTCAGAGCTGGCTCCAGCTGGACACTGATTAGGTCAGGTGGCTCCTGGGTGGTGGTGCAGTGGGGCTAAGGCAGGCTCAGCCCCGCCCTGGCCCTGCATCACTCCCAAAGGCAGCCAGCAAACTCCCTCCATCCGACACTCTGTTGTGCCCCCCTCTGATCTGTGGAGATAGACTACAGGATGGGAGAGAGGGCACCCTGACATCAGCACCCCCCTCCTCTGCCCTGCACCTCAGGAGGCTCCCAGAGGTGTGGGGAGGCAGCTGCAGGGCTAAGGGCAGGAGGTGCTCAGCAGTGGGGAGGGGGCAGTTGATGTGCTGCACTTAATAATACCCTTTTGGCTAGGCTAGTCAAGATCACCCGTCAGAGGCGCCAAGATCTCCTGGTTAGTGACCACGGTGTTAGGGCATACGCTTGCATGGGTGGAACCCACTTTGTCAGATGCATTGCAGTGGAAGTTACAGAAGCAGGAGTCTATATATGGAAGAAGTTGCTTGTGTTAATGAAGCTAATCAAGGCAGTGTGGGAGTGGGTCGTTCACAACGTTTGGTCTGGAGATGTGACTATCCAGAGAGGGGGAATTGCCTTTGTAATGCGTTAACCAGATGAGATCCTTAGTCCGTCCTAAATGGATGGTGTTGGATTAGCAAATGAATTCCAGTTCCACTGCCTCCCTTTGGAATCCAGGTTTGAAGTTCTTTCTAGAAGGAAGCCACTTTCAGATCCACCACTGGCTGTCCAGGGAGGCCGAAGTGTTCCCTGCAGGTATATGTGCGTTCCCATTCCCGAGGGCCGATTTGTGTCCATTTATCCTTTGGCGCTGAGACTGTGTGCTCTGGCCAGTATACATGGCGAAGGGGCTTTGCTGGCACTCGATGGCCTAAATCCCCTGTCGCCGTGCTAGGGCATGAAAAGCACAGTTCCCACAATGTTCCCTGCGTTCACTAGCTGCAACATAAAGCAAGCACAGGCAGTGGATCCAAGAAATACATTTCCCAGGAGGCTGTGCCGGGGGTCCCACCAGACTGGAAGCTCTTCCTCCAGGATGGCCTGGGGGAGCAGGCAGAGGGAGGAGCCAGGGGACTGAGCTGGGCTTAGTAAGAGCCTTAGTGCCCCTAAATCTGGGCAGTGGATGGATTCAGTCCCCATGTTTCATGGTCGCTCGTTCCCACTATCTTCCCTTCCCCCTTTTATATTTCTGTGGCCCTTGCATTGGCTTTCTCCCCTTTCCTCCCCCTTTCCTTTCTCATCACTTCCCTCTCCTCCAAATCTTCTTTTTGTTTTTCCTCTTTTCTCTCTCTCTCTTCTTTGTTTCCCAGAGCCTGCTGCTGCTTGGTGCTGGGTCTAGTCTGCTCTTTGACACCTGCTGTAAGGCATTGAGCTGGCTGCCTGGAATTCAGGTGGGTGCAGGAGAGGAAGAATGGCTCAGTGGTTAGAGCGTGCTCCTCTGTGACCTGGGAGAGCTGATTCCTTCCCCCGCTGTGCCCTGGTGACATGGGAGTCACTGAGTCGTAACCTAATGCCCTTGTGAGATCAATCAATCGGGGCACTTCTATACTTAGGAGAAGATCGACCTTCCAGAGTCAATCTTCTAGTGTTTGATTTAGCGGGTCTAATACAGACCCATTAATTGAGGACTGAGAGCAGGACCCTGCCGGCATCCAGTATCCTATTCTGCAAGGATTCAGGGAATGCAAGACACCCTTTGTGATTGTGGGGCCATGCTTTCCAAATGCTGGGAAGACCCCTTGGATTAAGAAAATGTCATTGAAGACACAATCTAAGAAATAGACAGCTCCCTTCCCTTGGCTTGGCGGGGGCTTGAAATCAGCCGTCACCCTGACAAACTGTCTTTCTAGTTACTGTATCTACCATCTCTCTGCCCGTTTGATTCCAGGGCTCGGTTGAGTGTCGAAGGAGATGGAGGCCACCTTGCCTGCAGTGGCAGAAGAGCTTTTGAGAGAGATAAAAAAGGCTTTCCAGGAGACGTCGCACGGTACGTGGTGAGACGCAGGGTCATGTGGGGTGTTTGTGGGGCAGTCGTAGCTTGGATAAGACACTGAAAAGCGTGGCGAGCTTATATGAAAAAACATGCTGCCACCGTCGGAAAAGAGGCATGGTCACCCTGGTGGTGTATAAATGACAATCGTGTCATTGTTTTCTGGGGATCAGGCGTTCAGGCAGGTCAGCGTAACTTCCTCAGGTCTTCGGAGGCCCATGATGTCTAAGGAATACGTAGTCTTCCCAGAACTTAGAAGGGCTGGAGCATCAGAAAATGCTGAGTGCTTGCCCTCTGGAAATGGGGCTCTTTTACGGTGACCCAAATCCCCAGTCACTTTGGAAAACTTAGACTGTCTTGTATGTGCTTGGGAGCATCTCACGTCAGCAGCATTGGCCAGCCAGTATTGTGAAATGTTCCATTCTGTACCTTCCAGACTGTGCTGCCTGTGGCTCAGATGTACTCTCAGGTGCACCTCTGCTAGGCCAACTTTCTGAGGCTCTAAGGGGTAGAAATCTTTATGCTGCACAGTTAGCTCAAAGGAGCTCTGCTTCAGTGTCGAAAGTTGCTTATGGCGTCGGGCCATGTCTAGACCCTGAGGAAGATCCATGCTGCGGCAGTCGATAAATCGGGTGAGGAGGGCGACCCTGTCGACGCCGGAACTCCTCGCTGGCAGTTTTTACGTCCCTAGAATTCCGCACCTGAAGCCGACCTTTGGTGTAGTGTAGACCCGGCCTCGGTCATGGAGAGAGGACTCTTGAATGGGAATGGTACGTTGCATATCATTCCCCAGACGCCATCTCCATGGCTGTTGTATTTCTGGGAGCTCGCAGGCTCACTGCCTTGGCAGCCGGTGACAGAACTGTTACATTCTCCCAACTAGCCAGCAGAGGGGGCTGTGCCCCTGAGCGTGGTGAGCGTTTCCAGGGGGCGGGTCCTGGCCACCGAGAGCCAGCCGGTGACAAACCACCCGCTGTACAGAACTGTTACATTCTCCCAACTAGCCAGCAGAGGGGGCTGTGCCCCTGAGCGTGGTGAGCGTTTCCAGGGGGCGGGTCCTGGCCACCGAGAGCACAGCCCCCGGACTGAACTGATAGTCAGAGCTCAGTGTAGGGCACTCGGGAGACTGGGGATGTGACATCCCGTTTCATTGGGTCACTGGTTAAACGTAAAGTTAAACGCTGTGTGTAAATGGTTCACTGATTTAAAGGGGGGGCAGGTGGAGGGACTTGAGTGCCCCCTCCCACCGCAGGCAGGGGGACTGCTCCAGCCAGCAGTGGGGGGAGAGTGGGCAGTCTTTTCGCGCCGGCTCAGAGGGACTGTTCCCAGGTGCCAGTTAACCATTACCCAATAAGCACCGTCTGTTAAGGGTGATGCTCACTGGGTGACCAGTTACCCGTTCCCATCGCTGCTGGACACTGTCAGGTTTGTTGAGATCCAAGATCTAGGTATGATTTTTTGTATAAAGGGTTCTGTGTAAAGCGTATGCCCTGTGTCCTCTGCTTTTGAAATGAACCACCAGCTTTTAACCCACCTCCCCCCAGCACCGGATCCTGCTCCCCCCTTGCTTCCTCTCCCTAATAGAGGCAGTGAGAAGAGAAGAAGCCACTAGTGAAATACATTTCCCAGGAGGCTGTGCCGGGGGTCCCACCAGACTGGAAGCTCTTCCTCCAGGATGGCCTGGGGGAGCAGGCAGAGGGAGGAGCCAGGGGACTGAGCTGGGCTTAGTAAGAGCCTTAGTGCCCCTAAATCTGGGCAGTGGATGGATTCAGTCCCCATGTTTCATGGTCGCTCGTTCCCACTATCTTCCCTTCCCCCTTTTATATTTCTGTGGCCCTTGCATTGGCTTTCTCCCCTTTCCTCCCCCTTTCCTTTCTCATCACTTCCCTCTCCTCCAAATCTTCTTTTTGTTTTTCCTCTTTTCTCTCTCTCTCTTCTTTGTTTCCCAGAGCCTGCTGCTGCTTGGTGCTGGGTCTAGTCTGCTCTTTGACACCTGCTGTAAGGCATTGAGCTGGCTGCCTGGAATTCAGGTGGGTGCAGGAGAGGAAGAATGGCTCAGTGGTTAGAGCGTGCTCCTCTGTGACCTGGGAGAGCTGATTCCTTCCCCCGCTGTGCCCTGGTGACATGGGAGTCACTGAGTCGTAACCTAATGCCCTTGTGAGATCAATCAATCGGGGCACTTCTATACTTAGGAGAAGATCGACCTTCCAGAGTCAATCTTCTAGTGTTTGATTTAGCGGGTCTAATACAGACCCATTAATTGAGGACTGAGAGCAGGACCCTGCCGGCATCCAGTATCCTATTCTGCAAGGATTCAGGGAATGCAAGACACCCTTTGTGATTGTGGGGCCATGCTTTCCAAATGCTGGGAAGACCCCTTGGATTAAGAAAATGTCATTGAAGACACAATCTAAGAAATAGACAGCTCCCTTCCCTTGGCTTGGCGGGGGCTTGAAATCAGCCGTCACCCTGACAAACTGTCTTTCTAGTTACTGTATCTACCATCTCTCTGCCCGTTTGATTCCAGGGCTCGGTTGAGTGTCGAAGGAGATGGAGGCCACCTTGCCTGCAGTGGCAGAAGAGCTTTTGAGAGAGATAAAAAAGGCTTTCCAGGAGACGTCGCACGGTACGTGGTGAGACGCAGGGTCATGTGGGGTGTTTGTGGGGCAGTCGTAGCTTGGATAAGACACTGAAAAGCGTGGCGAGCTTATATGAAAAAACATGCTGCCACCGTCGGAAAAGAGGCATGGTCACCCTGGTGGTGTATAAATGACAATCGTGTCATTGTTTTCTGGGGATCAGGCGTTCAGGCAGGTCAGCGTAACTTCCTCAGGTCTTCGGAGGCCCATGATGTCTAAGGAATACGTAGTCTTCCCAGAACTTAGAAGGGCTGGAGCATCAGAAAATGCTGAGTGCTTGCCCTCTGGAAATGGGGCTCTTTTACGGTGACCCAAATCCCCAGTCACTTTGGAAAACTTAGACTGTCTTGTATGTGCTTGGGAGCATCTCACGTCAGCAGCATTGGCCAGCCAGTATTGTGAAATGTTCCATTCTGTACCTTCCAGACTGTGCTGCCTGTGGCTCAGATGTACTCTCAGGTGCACCTCTGCTAGGCCAACTTTCTGAGGCTCTAAGGGTTAGAAATCTTTATGCTGCACAGTTAGCTCAAAGGAGCTCTGCTTCAGTGTCGAAAGTTGCTTATGGCGTCGGGCCATGTCTAGACCCTGAGGAAGATCCATGCTGCGGCAGTCGATAAATCGGGTGAGGAGGGCGACCCTGTCGACGCCGGAACTCCTCGCTGGCAGTTTTTACGTCCCTAGAATTCCGCACCTGAAGCCGACCTTTGGTGTAGTGTAGACCCGGCCTCGGTCATGGAGAGAGGACTCTTGAATGGGAATGGTACGTTGCATATCATTCCCCAGACGCCATCTCCATGGCTGTTGTATTTCTGGGAGCTCGCAGGCTCACTGCCTTGGCAGCCGGTGACAAACCACCCGCTGTACAGAACTGTTACATTCTCCCAACTAGCCAGCAGAGGGGGCTGTGCCCCTGAGCGTGGTGAGCGTTTCCAGGGGGCGGGTCCTGGCCACCGAGAGCGGCTGGTAGGAGAGCCCTTGTGAGTCGCGGCACGCAGCGCGGCTGTGCGATTTCTGCCACCCATGCTGACAGACGCCCGTGGTAGCCGCTTACATGGCAAATAGACCAAGGGGTGCCGGCAGAGCTGGAGTGGCTGGTTAAAGAATATGTTCAGCCTCAGCCAGAACGAAAGGAAACCGAAATACGGGGAACCCCTTTAACCGCCCCCATTTAGGGGAGTGGTGCTGGGTAGCCAGTTAGCATTTGAACAGCCCCCGCGACTGAACTGATAGTCAGAGCTCAGTGTAGGGCACTCGGGAGACTGGGGATGTGACATCCCGTTTCATTGGGTCACTGGTTAAACGTAAAGTTAAACGCTGTGTGTAAATGGTTCACTGATTTAAAGGGGGGGCAGGTGGAGGGACTTGAGTGCCCCCTCCCACCGCAGGCAGGGGGACTGCTCCAGCCAGCAGTGGGGGGAGAGTGGGCAGTCTTTTCCAGCCCTGCACAGGGGCTCAGAGGGACTGTTCCCAGGTGCCAGTTAACCATTACCCAATAAGCACCGTCTGTTAAGGGTGATGCTCACTGGGTGACCAGTTACCCGTTCCCATCGCTGCTGGACACTGTCAGGTTTGTTGAGATCCAAGATCTAGGTATGATTTTTTGTATAAAGGGTTCTGTGTAAAGCGTATGCCCTGTGTCCTCTGCTTTTGAAATGAACCACCAGCTTTTAACCCACCTCCCCCCAGCACCGGATCCTGCTCCCCCCTTGCTTCCTCTCCCTAATAGAGGCAGTGAGAAGAGAAGAAGCAACTAGTCGAGTCCCTAGTTGAGTATCCAATAAGCATTGGCTTTTGCTTTTGCATTTGCTTAGCGGATAGTTGACTAGTCACTTACGTCCCTAATGTAAACACCTCCCTGGAACGCTGGGAGCATTGTACTGGGACCTGAGAGCAACACCATGAAACCAGCCAGTCCGGTTTCATTATCCAAACTGAGTACGGGTAGCGGACTTTTCCAGCATCCGCCACGGCACATACGTGAGACTTAAAACCTGCACAGCTGTCCCGATTTAAAGTCCCAGCCCCTCCGTGACGTCCACATGGAAGAGTGGGGCCGGTGACCGAGCAAGACTGAGGTGTATCTGCAGAACTGTGAGCGGGGCCCAGGACAGAAGGGGCGTCTGCTGAAACAGCAGCTAGAACCCAGCGACGTGACTGTCGGCCCCTGGATCTCGTGAGACGACGAGTCCGAAACCTTTCCAGCCCAGCAACCTGGAGTCAGCAAAATCCGCACTGGTTTTGGCGCCCTGCCAGCAGCGTTTCCCCCAGTGCAACGTCTACCTGTTTTTAATCAGGGCGGGTGGCCTGGCGTGCTCTTGGCAGTCACAGGGCCCTTCTCACTACAGCCTTTGCCTGGCGTTCTGACCCTGTCGTCTCTGGGGTTGTGCGTTGTGAACTCTCTCCCCTATCGTCCTGCTCCCTGCGTGTCTCGGTGGCTGATGGCCGTAAGGGGCAACCCTGCGTGGGCTCGGGGGAGGGACAAAGGAGCCCTTTTCGGAGGCTCTTTGGCAACGGGTGTAGCAATGAAATGTCTTTGTGTTCTTGTTGCAGTGCCTGACGAGCTCCTGCTGGCGTAAGTCCGCTGTGCGCTGCTCCTCGCCCGGCCTGGGGTAGGAGTGCGGGGTAGTTCGCTTTTCTCCCTCCGCGGCCTGAGGTCGTTTTCTGGTGGAGCAGCAGCCGCTGCCTGGGGAAACGTAGCGACGTTTCTGGCGGGGGAGAGTGGGTGTCCAAGCTGTCTGCTTGGGGAGGTTCCCTGGGGCGCTTCGGGTTCAGCAATCCCCACCACAGTCCAGACTCGGAAAGCATGCAGAGCTCCGATGGATTAGCCCTCGAGGGGCCTGGCAGGTGTCTCCAGAGTCTTACGGCCAGATTCAGCCCGGGGTAATGAAACCAGAACTTATCTGTGAGGGCCTCCTCCCAAACTGCCCTCCAGAGCTCCCCGTCTCCGGCCACCCTAATGCCAGGGTGAGCACAGCAGTGTCTTTGGGTGCCCCTCTCTGTCCAAGCCAGAGGGTCAACGTGGCGCTAAAAGGGGGAAAGAGAAGCCTCGAAATACAGCCCCCCAAAATAACCGGCGCCTGGACGGCCGTGCTGAGAATCCCATTGCTGCCGGGAAGAGGAAGGCTGGGGCTGGCTTCCCTGTGATCTGAGCCCAGGAACGTGCCCCCCCCACAGCCGCCGGGTTCGCAGCGTGGCCCTGGTAGATGTAATTGGCCCAGATGGTTCTGACACCCAGTAAATTGGATTGAAAATGCATTGGGGGGCGAGGGGGGCATTGAAAGCATTCACAAGGTGGGGCTGAATTCTGTGAAGAGTCTGAGGTGGAAAACCATGCTTCCCTGTGATCTGAGCCCAGGAACGTGCCCCCCCCACAGCCGCCGGGTTCGCAGCGTGGCCCTGGTAGATGTAATTGGCCCAGATGGTTCTGACACCCAGTAAATTGGATTGAAAATGCATTGGGGGGCGAGGGGGGCATTGAAAGCATTCACAAGGTGGGGCTGAATTCTGTGAAGAGTCTGAGGTGGAAAACCATGCAGAAAACT